AAGGCCCACCGCTTCCACTCCAGGGCGCGCGGGGTCACCAACACAACACACACACACCACACACACCACACCACACAAAGAAAGCAAAAGGTTAACGAGATATCAAAAAGTAACAAAATGTCCACCGCAGAGTCTCATTATCGTTTCTCACAACATTGAACATTCTGAATATATAAATAATACAAAACTGACTCACAATATATTAATAAGTTTACATCTTATGGACAGAACCACGCAGTCTCATTAAACAACAACTTTCAAAACTTTCTTCACTCTCTTCTCTGACAATTCTCTCCTGTAAATATGATACACTTGACAATGCTCCCCTCCTCAACGCTCTCTCTCACTGTCAAGTACCTGCACTTTGCTCATCTGTGTGCACGCCCAAACCTGCTAGACTGCACAGCGCGGCAAATAAATTAGCAGAGTGCTTCTAGGACAATCCAGGCTGCAACAAATACACTTGCTTCACAGTCAAGATAAGCAAACAAACACACCGACACAAGCATTATCTATTTGCAAATCTATGATTGGACGTGCCCACCAAACACAATTAGCCATCAGCCACATTTTAAATGGATCCAAAGCCCCTGTAACACCACAAAATGTAACTACGCTAAAACAGTCCTAACAACGACTGCCTGCTACACGCCTTGCCGCATCAGATGTGCATACTCACACGCCCTTAAACACGTCTACGCATTAATGCCAAAATATTCTCCACCAATGAAGAGAAAAGAAAAAACACATTACACATAAACTGTGTTAAAGTTACACAATTTGTGAAATTGGCTTAAANTTTATTATTAGATATTATTTAATTCCACATTACCACATCACCCACAAAACAGCATGTACACCTGGTCAAAAATATGCCTGAGGTGCAGACAACCTCACTGCAGATTAAAAGCTAATTATTTTCTGTTGAAGTAACACATTTAGGGGAATTGTTAACCTTGTATTTGTGTCCTTTGGCGAGGGTATGAAAACTTTCCCGTTAGTATTTCAGTACTGAAGTTTTAGCTAAGCACAGTGCCATCTTGAATTTTAATTTACACTCACAGTTTTGAAGGGAATTTAGCAGTCGAACGCTATAATGCCCAGAAAAGACCGTCCTTACTCTGATTACGGTTACTTTGTGCCCACTGTAATCATGCAACTAGCAGCATCACAGCCCCGCCCTTAATCATGGCAAAAATGGCCTTTTGGCTGTTGATGTGTTTGCTTTAATTGGACAGCAGTAGACAGTTTTAAAAAAAAAAACAACAGTAAAGCCAACTTCCCTCGCCTGCTGCTCAGTTATGCAAAGCATGTCCTATGGACCGAGCATCTCTTTTCCATGCGTTTAGTATGGAGGACAGCTCTCATCATTACCACACAATGAGGACAGGGGAAACAACAGATTGCCACATTTCCTGTCCTTTTTTGTGCCGTGCAACCAACAACTATCATTTTCTATGCATGCTGTTGGTTTAAATTGTGCGTGCATTGACACACACTTACTCACACACACACTCCATTAGGGAGGACGTATGTGACGCGCTTGTAAAACTCGTCCCGATTAAAATTATTATGTGGACTCCAAGATTAAAAAGTAAACTACACAAAAACCACACCACAGGAACATTAGAATGAGGACAAGAGGAACAACAACAGACTTGCCGGGCAGCAGCTAAGCTGGTCCTGGCTCTTCCTCTAATGACCCGTGTCAAAGACTCGATACTAGACTGAGCCTCCATATCCTTTGCGTGTATGCGTAAGCGGTAAGGTTTCTTATGACAATTATAGTCCTGGTACCACTGACCCACCACTTACTCACACACACACACACC